CTGCAGGGGGGGTCTCATCAGAGCAGAGGAAAGAGGCAGAACCCTCTCCCTCAACCTGCTGGTCATGCTGTTTGTGATGCAGCCCAGGATACAGTTGGCTTTTGGGGCTGCAAGCACGCATTGCCAGGTCGTGTTGAGCTTCTCATCAACCAGCACCCCCAAGTCCTTCTCCTCAGGGCTGCTCTCAATCCATTCTCTGCCCAGCCTGTATTTGTGCCTGGGATTGCCCTGACCCAGGTGCAGGACCTTGCACTTGGCCTTGTTGAACCTCATGAGTTCACACAGGCCCACCTCTCAGCCTGTCCAGGTCCCTCTAGGTGGCATCCTTTCCCTCCAGCGTGTTGACCGCACCACACAGCTTGGTGTCATCAGCAAACTTGCTGAGTGCACTCGATCCCACTGTCCTTGTTGCTGACAAGGATGTCAAACAGCGCTGGTCCCAATACCAACCCCTGAGGAATGTCACTTGTCATCAGTCTCCATTTGGACTTCAAGCTGTTGACTGCAACTCTTTGAGTGTGACCATCCAGCCAACTCCTTATCCACTGAGTGGTCCATCCGTCAGATCCATGTCTCTCCAATTTAGAGACAAGGATGTCGTGTGGGAGTGTCAAGTGCTTTGCACAAGTCCAGGCAGATGACGTCCATTGCTCTTCCCTTATCCACCAATGCTGTAACCCCATCATAGAAGGCCACCAAATTTGTACAATTGTCATAATTGCTCCCCCATGTCTTACACAGCACATGCACACCACAGAAGCATCCTACCCTGAAAATACATCTGAAAAGGAAAATGACACTGCTACTGAAGTTCTCCTCTAAACTAGGAAACGCCACAAAAAGTTTAGTTTTGTTAACATGATGTTTCTGCATTTCTGGAGGAATGGCTCATGCTGTATCTCCCTATTCCAGATTTTAGCTGAGCATGAAAGGAGTTAGCTTGCCTGATTCTCAGTGCTTCTGCTAACCATTATCTCCCCAACATGGGGCCCTCACATGGGATTCACATTCTAGATATCAAAAGCTGATCTTGGATACAAACCTGTTGATGTTTCCTTTCCATTTCCTCAAGTTCTGCCTCCACTTTTGTCTGTTTTTCTTTCACCTTCATTAGCTCCTCATCTTTGGCTTGAAGTTCCTCTTCTTGACGAGTGACCTGAAGAAGAGGCTTCACCTGCAAAGATTTGAAATGAACAAGTGAAAACCTGCATCCACCTATTTACAAAAGTCAAAGAAAGTCACAGAACACAACAAACCTTCGTGAAGACTCTCCACCACTGCCAGTGCCTAAGCTTTAAATACGCAGCGCAATTCCTTTGCAGGATTTTCAGTGCACTCAGTTGCTGTTGTTTCTTTGCAAAGGCCCTGAAGACAGAAAGAGCAAAACATTTCATGTTAGATACAGCTGATTGTCTGTCCATGTTTGTAATTTTTAGGTTACCCAGCCCGAGAACACTTGCAGACCATAAATAGGCTTATTTTTAAGTTTCAGTGACTACACTGATTTACGAATACTCATTCCTTATATGAAGAGGCTGAGCAAGAGTTGGATTCACCATTTTCAAAACAATAATTACAAATGCTATTTGTTCTTACTCTTCACAGACTCTTTTCTTAAAAAAAGATAAAATATAGATGGATTAGACACTGAACTGTCCTTTAATTTAAAAAAAGCAGCTTTCCAGAGTTCCTCTAAGAACCTCCAGTGGAGCAATAGGAGAGATTTTTTCACAGCTATTAGTTATACTGTAAACAGCTGCATGTGTCACAAAGGCAAGATTAAGGAAAGGAGATATTGTTAAGGAATAAAGGTGCAAATTCTTACTAGGCAAAAATTCACCTAATACCTTGGATACAACTACAGTTTATCAGGCAATAGATTTTAAGAAAATCTCTCCCGAAATGGAAGTTTCAATGCATAGCTCCCTATCAAAGAGACTTAAGATGACCACAAGAAGATCAAATCATAAAAGCACACATACTTCCTAGCCAGGTATCCTCTACAGACTGCCTGGAAGAAGATGATAATGTCTGTGATCTTCAGATCTCGTTCTTCTTCTAAGTGTGCCAAGACACCAGCTCGGAAAAAGATCTTGCTCTGTCCAATTCTGTATAAATTGGGGTCCAGCTCTAAGGCTCTGATCTAAATGGACAGACAAGCATATTGTTTTTACATCAAGAAAAAGACAATTTTTCTTTCAACTTTTCAATGTTTTAATAATAATATTTAGATATAAACACTTACCATACGCTCACAGGCTTGCTTACCATCCATAAAACCTTTTGGAATTGCATTAGGAGTAAGGATCTCATACCTTTAAGTCAAATGAAAACACACCTTTACATTCAACAATAAACTACATTATTATAAACCCATAAAGCTACAGTCACCAAGTGCATGGCTAAAGAATTTCTCCAGAAAGTTTTTCCAGCAGTCCATTTTACATTGTTTCCCCTTCCCTATTGTCTTTAGAATCAACTTGTAGTATTTAACTGCTTCAAGTTAAGCCACTTCAAGACCTCACACATGGTTTTGGATTTTCTTCCAGTTGGGTTGAGGGAGGGGGTGTGGAGTGTCTTCAATTAATTAACAAGGAACTTTATCCCATAAAAACCTCAAAAAGACTGCTCCTGCTGTTACCTCTGTCTAAATTCCTGGAACACTATCCTGTTTGGAAATCCTTGTCGACAAATCCTTATTCCTTCTAAAACACCGTTGCAACGAAGCTGATCTAGAACCAGATGTGGATCCAATTTTCCAGCCTGGACAAACAAAACCACCATGATTTTAGTATTTTAATTCATGTTAATGAAAAACTGTAGTTTTAAGTTTCTCAGGCTAACCTCTACAAAGCCAACTGTCTAAATAACGGGATATGCGGGGAATACTGAGAAGGTATTTGATCAGTGTGAAAACTTTGTGAAACCTGGCTTCTGATTTCAAAAGGAAGACAAAGACAGCATGCATAACTTAAAATACTGACTCTAATAAAAAGAAAGAATTAGAAGAGTGATCTGTAGTACCTACCCTCTTTTCATGATTTGGAATGATGCAGCGAACAAAATTGGGATTAGTGTTCCGGAGCGTTGCCATCAGCTTGGTGAGAGATTCTTTGTACAGTTGGCCAACTGTACGAAACATGCCCTTCTTGGTCTTGTACGCAGAGCCAAAAGCTGTCTCTGTTATTCCAGTGACTTGATCCAGACCCACAATACGATCCACTGGAAAGGACAAAGGAAAATAATTAAGTGGACTTTAATATTTGTCAGGTATAAAGATAGGCAGAAAGAGGAGCAATAGTGCAGCAGCAGAAGCTTTGCAGAACAAATGACAGAAGATGCCATCAGTAGGCAAGGCAGTCAGCATGTACTAGGGATGCTGTGCAGAAGCAGTGGAACCAAAAGCCACAAATTTATACAGCAGAATAGTGTAGCTTTAGTAGGTACAGACTAAAATATCCAGCTCTTTACTTGCAGTTCTACATGACCAGTAAAGCCATTTTCTTTATTTTAAGACAACTTTTAAGAGACAGAAAGTTGCCTAGAAACTGGCAATTATTTGAATTCTTACAAAGCAAAATATTTCCGGGTTGAAGACTTGGAATTAGACATCTGTGCATACTTGCTTAAAACGTAGAGTCATGTATGGTAATTATATAGATTAAATCTGAGTTTTATTGAATATTCAGAAGTGTTTTGAAAGCATAACTATTTACATAAGGGTTGGAAATAGTGTTATTTCAGTGACAAGAAGGGGAAAAAAAATATCTGCCAGACTTCTGCTAGTCTGTTATTTTGAAGAATTCTTCCAAGTTTTATATACAACTGCAAAGACCTCCCTAGGCAAAAGACAAGTTTCAAAACAGGAAAACTGCACACCAAAGCACTTCAAAGCTGCCCTAAAGCATCAGAATACAGACTTATCTTTGATTTTTTTTTTTTTTTTAACATTTTGGGTAAGGATCTCTATGGTTTCTTCTTCAGAAGCATGAATTAGAAATTTGACTGCCATGTTTAAAACCTTTAGGCCAAAAACATGAACATGATTCCACGTGCATGTCAACAGTTATTTAAAGAGCTTGCAAAAATAAAAATTTACACAGGTGGTTTAACACCTTATAGTTGGCACTTCTCAGTACTGAGCAAATACACAACGTACATTGGCTCTCCATGAAATCCAAGCTGGCCAGCCAGAAACAAGTCACTATATGTAGGCTACAATTTAACTTCACAAAACTTATCTTCAAATTAATTCAAACCAAAGCAGAGGGAATTATGCTTTGCTACCAGAATTAGTTTTGGGTACGGCAAATAAGTGACAATATTTTATTTCATACTCAACTAGTTTTCAATGGTCTATAAAAAAAAGGAAAGTTAAAAGCAGAAAAATACAGGGCAACAAATTTGAATAATCACTTGTAAGTCTTGCAAGTAGTACAGAGCAGAGCCCAGATCCTCCATACAGTTTTGAACAAAAAAATCTAAGCAACTTATTAAAGTTAGAAGAATAAGTGGGTGGTAAGTTGTTCATAAGATCATATTCCAAATATTTACTTTGAAGCAGAATTCAGTTCTAAACCAGAAATCGGACAGAGATTACTGGGAATCAGTCTTACAGAGAATGAACATAACAGCTTGTAAATATTAGAAACATGCACCCACCAGACACCATTCAGCTTTTGTTTGGCCACATACTTTAAAAAATTTTGTAAATAAATCTGATAATTGTGCACCTTTTGTTTTGCTCCCCTCTGTCCTCCAACTATAAGATAGTTGCTTGTATTTCAAAGAGGATTAAAGCTAAACATAAGCTTTCCCTATAGGTTAAGAGCAGCGATTGAACAGCATGACTGGACAATCACCCATTAGCTAAAGCCTCTGAACTCAAGCCCTCTAGTAATTACTTTAGGAAACATCACTAGCTTCCTCAAGTATGTGATGTATCATGAGTAGTGAAAGACAAACCCAAGTAAAGATCCAAAGTCTGAAGGCATAACCTTCCCATACATGTATTTCTAAGCTTGGGAAGAGGAACACAAGAAGGATGAGGAAGAGGTTGGATAAGATATCTAAAGTGTCTTCAAAAAGACATTCCAGATAAGTGGATTTGTTGATTTCCTGATACTTCCAAAAATGTGTGCAGCTTCTACAAAGGGAAATATTAAAATTAAGATGTTTTTAAACAAAAGAACAATTCCAACAAGCCTGGAAGAAGTTTATTTCACTTACTACCCCCACTACAACTGCAGCACTCATTCTGATACTTCAACACATTCTTCAGCTCTCCTCCCAAAAAATACATCCACATTCTAAAGTGTTCCACTTTTGTCAATGTTGGACTGCAGAAAGAAGCTTGATAGTGTTACAAAGCTTATGCATTCTCTCAAATGCTTGGAGCTACCAGAATTATCACTTAAGAAGCAATTCTACATCTCAACATGGAACTAGGAAGCAACAAACCTTTTTATCTGCAATGCTTAAATGCAATGCATAAAATATAAATGCTATATGTATGCAGCAGCAACTGAATAGGTATGCACTCAGAGACCATTTGCCTTGTGGAGGTATACCTAAGTTTAGCATGAAATGAAAAGTTCATGCAAGCCTACGAGCAAAAATGGTTTTCCTGTAGATACAACAGCCCTGCCTTTAGTAGGCCTACTGTTTTTATATCCATTCACCTGGTGGATCATGAAGACCAGTAATATTGTCATAGAAACAGGCTCTCTGAATATTCTGAATCTCTAAGGCAGAGAAACAGCAAAAACAGAAAGACAGAAGAGCAGATACACAAGACACTTCAGTTAGTATACAAAACAGGTTTATCAATTGCAAACAGACTTAACTGTGCTACAAAAGCAATTAGGCCACAACATATTCCATGCACATTTCAATTATCTGGGGAAGCAGGTTTTGAATATCTGGACCAAACCACTTTTGCTTCTGTGAGCGTATTCAAAAGGAAAGGAGCAGATCCCGAACCAAGAAGTTCTTTATATATTCATTAAAACTGCTCTCTGTAGCTGAGCCAAGTAAGAGGGAAACTCAGTATTAACCTACAGCATCATCTATATCACAACTTTAATTTCTTCCTCAAATAAGGAACTACAGGCTTTATTTACTTTGATATGTGAATATACTCTAATTAATATACTGTGGTGTTAAAAACTAGAATAGAAGAGTCCCTGCTAAGTATTTATTTGGCTATTTCTGCTTCTTGGAGTATTTTGGTAAAAACATTGATGAATACTTTAAGCTGACGTACTGGTAAACTAGCTAAACAACAGTGTACAGTTAAAACAGGAATACATTGCATTTGATTTTAATATGTAATATCTAAGCACTAGTATGGCTTTTACTGAATTTTATTTTAGGAGATGTGGATTTCCAGGATATCACCCACCACTGCACATGAAACAACCGTGCTGGTGCTCACATAAGACAACATTTTATTAACAGCAAGAACCATTACAGCTGTTTACATTCAGGACTCCACTGCAGCAAGTCCAACTAAGAGTTTTGGACAAGATTCTACATGAAATTTGACACAGGGTAACAAGTAGTAAGTGAATATTAGTTCAAATAATGAACATGAGAAGCAGCTACTCAGAAATGGTACATGTGCAAGGGACCATAAGTACAACAAGGAAGCTGGATTGCACCTTCGGCACTAAACAATAGAGAAAATGCTGTAAATATTTACAACAAAGGTGGAAGGTGAGGAGGGAACAGGCACAAAAAACCAATCCAAATTCATCCAGAAACGTAAAAAAGTCACTAACAACTTGCGTGCTCAGAGCATGATCTCTTACCATCCTTCCAAAGCTCTGCAACAAATTTGTCAGAAGACTGGTGCAAGAGCGTAGCCACATTGTCATTCAGGGGGTCCATATTCTTCATCAACCACTCATCTGCCTTGTAGTCTACCTGTAGAGCAGCCAAGTTGCACATGATCAGATGGACTACCAGCTTTACATTTAAATTTACCAGCATAAAAAAAGAAAGCTTTCAGAATACTATACTGATGTTTTCCTCCTATTCTCTTCTTGATGCTTGCTTGATTTAAGTTAGTTGTGCCTGCTTAGAATAGTTCAAAGTAGCACGAAAAGTTATTATTATTTTCAAAAAGTAAATGGGAGTTTTCTTAAAAATTTAGCAATCTGACTTTTTGCTTACTAATAGCTGGTATACACTTTCAGCCTAGTGTTATTGCCAAAATAAGGCTTCACTGTTCACTGTGAAGATGTAAAAACAACTCTAGTATAGGCCCTAATTACTTTATCTAAATTACTAGAGAGTAAATTAAGGATGTGCTGATGCACAACTTTAGTTTCACTATAGCAGTTACACTTAAACACTTTGTTCTATAAAGAAAAACAAACAAAGCCCTTATCTTGAAAGAGCCAATTTTGTGGTTTGCAATTAAACAATAGCTCAGCAGTTGAAAACTCAATGCTATCAACATGTGTTTCATCCCAACCCAAAAGACAGCCCTAAAATTCCCCTAAGTCCAACAAAACCTCTGCATAGACTAGCATGTTTTTGCTTCAACCAAACCGAGTTTTCTATTTTTAAATAAGGGCTTTGGAAGGAAAGCCACATTTAAATGCTTCCAGCATCCAAAACCAGATCAGATCATTATCTTGGTATTTCTTGCAGGAAAAGATATTTTACAAACGATTCCAGTCTTGAAGGAATATACAATCTGATCAAAAACTGAAAAATGCCTTCTGTCAGAGGAAGATATGCAATGCCAGTATTCCAGAAATGTCCCCTCAGTTTGGCAGAAGGAAACCATTTCTCAGAACAATTACTAGTAGCAGTCAGGCACCAAGCTGTTTCACCTCATTTTCATTACCTACCAGTAACCCACTATTAACTGCAGTAGCAGTGATGATTTCATTATTTCTAAGTAACTGTTTTAAATATTGATACAATAAAATGTTTAATTTCTTTATTTCATTTTTTGCTACAATTATCTAGTTGGCACCACTGACATCAACAAATAGGTAACAGCAAGCTGTTAGTAATTTAAATGACAATTAAAGGATAGCTCTTAATCATTCGCACAACCTGATTCTTCTAAATACCAGGGCAAAAACTGGTACTAGGATTAAGTTTTAACTACTTATGAAATTAATTATATAGCATGGCCCTATAGATCTGGGGATCATGAAAGATCCACAAAACACAAGAATTGCAGTTATTTCATGGACCTGTTCGTAATGCACCTGAGCTCTGTCCCCCTCAGCAGGACACTAAAGATTGAACGAACAGTAAAAATGAAAAGGTATCAGCTTACCTATACAAGGGGATATCAGAAAGTCTTATGAGAACTGAGGAGAAAAATTAAGATGGTACTGGCACAGCCCTAGTTCAAGCACAACTATCAACTTAGAAACACAGATATTCAGAAGAGATTCCTTTCAATAAAGTCCTGAAAAAAACTCACCTGTAAGACCTGACCACAAAATTAAAAGGAACTGAAATATTTGTTTAATTTAATATTAAATTTATATTTTTCATTTCTGTCTGTTTGGTAACAAGAGTTCCATCAGAGCTCTCAAGAACATTAAACAAGGCCACCCTTGTGCACAAGTATTTCTAAATTTGGTAGCTATATGGCATAGTACTTTCCCCAAACCAACGTTTCTAATGAAGTATTTAACATTTAACCTTACCTTCCCTGCATAGTGAATAATGCAGAAGTCTGCTTTGTCCTTTAGCTGTCTTGGCTTTTGGAACTTGGAGTGGGTTCCTTGCTCTTGTACCAACTTTTCCACAAATGTCTTGTCAGTAGCTTTAGGGAACCAGCATTCTTCATCCAGTAACGCTAACACACCAGGAGGATTTGCCTGAAATTCAGTTGAATTTAATATTTAACATATACATCCTTAAAATTGTAATATTTAAAACACACCATTGAACGCCACAATAAGCAGTTGTCCATACCAATTCAAATTTTATTTAAATTAAAACAAGCTGGGGGGGAGTTCAGTACAATGAAGGACATTATGACTGGTTCAAACAAATTCATTCCAATCTATATGGAGCCAGACATGACTGACCTGATCCAGTGTTGACTAGAGGCTTGCTTTGAGCAGAGACTGGAATAGACGACCTCCAGAGTTACCTTCCAAACATTTCTGTGACACGTATGTACACAGCAGCTCATCTGCATTTCCACAGTAGTTCATGTCATGCTTTAATGTGGGCTAAACTCAAGACAATCATCCCTCCCAGCCACTTGATACTACTGTGGCAGCCACTGAGTCTCTCCTTGCCAAGCCCTGGGTGGATATCCAGTAGCAGCACACAAAGAGATTCAGTAGGCTTAACTTGAGCAGTCAACACAGTTTTATATATTCCCTCTCTTTCCATATAATTTAAAATTAAGCAGGGCACAACCTAAATCTGTACTTTACAGCTGTCAAACAATTCTACAGGACCATTTTCCTCAGAGAAGACAGATAGATGCACACAAGAAAGCAATGGGGAAAAAAAGAGTTTATAATTATTTATACTTTAAAAATTTCTAGTGAATGTAAAGTTTACACATTTGAAGAGATGTTTCTATGCACTTACTACATGGCATCACATTTACAGAACACTTATGAAGATACTGACATTTGCTTTTAAAAAAAAAACCAAAACCAATTCAAGTAACTTGATGCATTTTAGGATATTCACCTAAACATCTGCATACTGAAAGCATCCACACTTATCCCCTAAGGCTTTTTAGCAGAGATTTTACTTTCCAAGGAGGCAGAACTTTCTGAAGTTCTACACACAAGGTGCAAACCTTTGATAACTGAAACAAGATTCCCCTTTTCCTACACTAAAAAAAAAAAAACAAACCCACAAGCGTAGCTCCTGGGGTTTTCTGCTCTTCAGGATACACAGCGTTATTGGCAGTTTATTTGTATTCTATACACATAGAAACAGAGCGTACTAACTGCAATACCCTAGGTTTAATTTAAAAGGTCATAAAGTAACTTTGACAGCATAGTTCTGAGGTGTGAAGAACAATAACTTTCAGGAATGATGATCTTGTTCTCCCTCAACTGGTCCTCCTGCTCTTTGCAGCCCTCTTCAGCTTCCATATACTGAGCAACCAGAAGAGTATGTTAAAAAGTACAGTGATTAAAACCACCTTTAAGGTACTGTTTTCCTATTTGCAAGGCAGATTTATGGGGAAAAACCTAACACTAAAGGAAGTTTCAGGAATTTTGCTACTGATCAAGTGAAATAAAGTTTATCATATGTCTTGAAAAGCTTTCGAACTCAGCCACCACTCTAAAGCTCCTATAACACAATGGCATGGTTTAATATGAAAGTGACAGGATTAAAGACTTCATTAGTAGTAGAGAAAAAAGTATAAAAATAGTAACTTAATACACTTTGCTCAGTGTTCTACCCTAACATCATGGCACTAACATCATGGCAAAATCCCATAAGGATAATTCCTTTTACTAATACACGGTATTTTAGACTTTGGCATTCACGTTAATTCACTTTGTGACAGCTCCACAAGAAATGTCTACACAGTCTTATAATTTACAGGTGGTAAAAGACAAACTCAGAAGTCTCACAAGTCTCTTTTACTTAGAGCATTATTAATGCACAAACTTACAGGTCTTTCGATTAAGTCAATGCAAGGCTGCAGATCCAGTCCAAAGTCAATGAAATTCCACTCTATACCTTCTCGTTGGTACTCCTCTTGCTCCAGGATAAACATTGTGTGGTTAAATAACTGCTGAAGCTTCTCATTGGTGTAGTTAATGCAAAGTTGCTCAAAGGAGTTCAACTACAAGAATAACATTAAGCAAGAATAGTTCAGTGATGGGATTTATCACATATCTGGAAGTCAAAAATTTGACCTTACAAGGAAATTTCTTAAAACTCTGCAACATTCAGATATAATGTAGAGAAAATTGGAAAATGCATTATATGAATCTCGTGTTCCCAGTTACATATAATTAAACTAACATACAGTAGGAAAAAACCATCACATACAAAAGAACGATTTAGACTAAAGTATGGATTTTGGCACTGTAATTTAGGGTTGTCAAAGCATTTGCATGCTACAAAACCCTCCTGCAGCCTTGGAACATGCATAAAGTGGCTCTGAAGTTAGTCCTGAACACGCATTAACGAGGGGTGGGAATAAAATCTGATTAGCAGTGTTTTGAAGTACCTCGAAGATTTCAAATCCAGCAATATCCAGAATTCCAATAAAAGACGCTCCCTGTCGTTTGGTCCTGTCCAAAGCTTTATTAATGCGATGAACAAGCCAGCGGAAGAGGCGTTCATAGGTGGCTTTTGCCAAAGCTTCCACTGCAAAGTCTGCCTGAAAATCCAAACAGGAAAATTTATTTACCCTGAAGAAGTCATCACAAGAACAAAGACACAGATGTTATCACAAATAACTAAGTAAAAGAAGTAGTTTAATGGAGTTAATACCACTGAGGAATGAAAACAAGCAGTAGAAACAGTATGTAGTTTCATTAATGTTGTGAAAAATCTGTTTTTAAACTGTTCTGTAAAAAAACCAAAAGCTCTCTGCATGTTTGACACATAATACAACGACATTAAAGGATGAAACCAGCAGAAGGTCAAGGAAAGGGAAAGGTTTCTTCTGTTTGACCACTGATTTTTACCATGTAAGAAAATTCAATAAAGACAGTAAGCTCAAACAAAAATCAGCGGCAGTACACACTTAATCATAATTTTCCTTCTTAAGAGCTAATGAGGATGAGGTGCAGTTTCACTTCATCTTTAAAGCACCAAAACTTACTTGTTCTTTGGTCTGGGCTTTCTGAACGTAGTCTCTGCCAACTTTGATGCGGGGTGTCAGGATGGCCCGGGTGAACTCCATTACGTTCATTCCCAGCAGATGGCAGAGTTTCTGTGCGACTGCAGATCAAAGGAATAAATGGAAGCATTTAAGTCCTCCACAGCAGCTAGCAACATCTGTAAAACAAGCCACTGGCAAAGGCTGTCATGTGCCAGCTTAAAGATTGAACTGCCATCTGAAATAGCAGTTAGGGAGATGCACTTCTGTCCTGTGGACAGATCTACTCTATCACACAGCCCACGTCTGCAGGGTCTCCATCTCAAAGGCTGATGGAAGTCTCTACAGAAATACATCTCTGAATTTCCTCAGGGGAGTGCAGAAAACACTAGATTTCATGAAATTGCAGGGAGGTCACGTAGCAGTCCATAGCCCATGTGCAAGCGTTCATTTTGTTACTTTAAAAGGGAACATTCATTTTGTCATCTCCAGAAAAAAAGCACAGCATGAAGACATCATACATCAACTCCATCATACTAAAGGCTGCTTAAAAACGGTTTCAATTTAGGCAGGTAAGCCAGCATAATGCTTCTGTTACAGCCTATATCAAAACACATTGTTTAAACTATCTATAACATGGGTTTGTAATATTTTCTATAAAATAACAACGCGAGCAGTGGTGTGCTTTCTTTGGACAGCATGAACTCTCCTGGTGTCAAGTTCATTATCTGAAATAACGTGTTACCCATACCATCGTTACATCTTCTTGCTGCATCAATCCTCTTTCTAAATAAGTTTTCCAATAGGTTAGGTCTTTATGATTCCATATTTCTAAAAATGAAAGTGACACTAAAGGTATTTTTAGGTCTGGGTTAAATGTTGCCCTTTAGCAGGAAGCCCTCCACACTATCCAGTAAGTACTTCAACCTCTTATCTTTGTAATCTGACAGCTTGTTGTTTTACTGTCAAAATTAAAAAAGTTATTTTTACAAATCAGTATTGGAAAACAGATTTTAATACCAATATATAAGAGCTTCCTCTGCATGTTTTTTTTTCCCCCCCCTGATATTAAAAACACTACTACTTGCCCTTAATGTTGAGATTCTCTCTCTCACCATATATTCATTAGAAGTGTTCATGAATCAACACACAACTTAATCAGTGAAATTAGGGTAGCATCAGAAATTGAGCACTCCTTTCACTTTAGCTACATACAGTAACATTTCTGTGCTTTGAGTATAAAAATACACATCAGCACATCAGATAAAACTTACAACCTTAGGTGTCAAGTAGCAAGTGCTGTCAGGATCTTTAAAAAAAAAAAAACAACCACCAACAAGAACTTGAAAATACTGAGTAGCCATGAGCATCAGCTTGGTACTGTGGCATAAGGGATACTATATATTACAGGATATTACAGTTTTTAAGGAAAGAGGGGGTTTTTCCCCCCCAATGCAGTACTTTAAACACTACATTCAGCTCCTCTTTTACAAACCTGTGACATGGAATTTGTCTCTACCTTTCCAGTTTGTAATAAACCATAGGTTAGCTAACAATAACAACAATAAACCATAGCAGAGGTAATACTAAAAATCACGTCCAAGTCAGACACTGAAGGAGGCTGCAGTTAGCATTTCAGAGGTTTGACTGAAGGAAACAAAATCGTTTTCAAGTCAAAGCTCTGTCACTTCTAAGGGTAGGACTGGTTCACACTATTTCAGCTTGATTAATCTTGCACTTCAAAAAATGCGCAATATTGTATGTTTGTAACTGAAGAAGGTCCATTTAAAAGCTGCGATTGTAGAAAGCCCTGGCTCTCCTGACTTGCGTTTTATTACTATCAGGTTTTGGATATAAAATTCTGAATTATTATAAGGTAAAGATACTGAAAAGCTCGTATCCTAGTTGAAGCATGAACTTTATGAGATTGCTTATGGACCACTGCCCTTTAGGCAGAAAGGTTTCTTCCAGATCTGGTAAGCCTGAAATGGTTCTCTAAATACAGCTTCTCCCTCCTCTTCATCCATGAAGGCTAAATGGCTTTCTTGCCATCTCTTCTATCTATACTTGAAACCACTATTTGCTTATCTATATTTATTATCTATAGGGTAGAATTTGCTTTCTATATTCTTTGAATAGGTTCACATCTCCACTACCCACACGAATTCCTTCCCATCTATGGAGACACTAACCTGACCTATTTCAGACACATACCTCTACATGAGATGAATCACTATCAAGACACGCTTATTTCTCTGGAGACACTAGAGAAACCCATTACAGTGAGGGGTGACAATACAGATGACATGAAGAGAGTGAACAGTTTCACTCAGTGTGCTCAGAAAGATACAGTAACAAAGACCACATAACCAAGGAAAGTAATTTTTGGATACAAGAGAACAGAAACATGCTTTAACTATGATCTGAGCATTTCAGTATCTTTGCTTTATGATTCAGAATTTTTTATCCAGTATTATAATTATCCAATAGTATCAATATATTTATGTCTAATATTATAATTCAGAATTTATGTCCAAAAAAACAGTGATAATACAACAAAAGTCAAGAGAGTCAGGAAGTAAGAAGCATCTGCATCTTTCTACATCACACCTTCCAAATGGACAATGACTCAGTTGAGTTGTCTAAACTGGTACTAAAAAGCCCAAAAAAAACCTAATCCCTCACCCACCCTTTTTTCCTCAGTCCAAAAATCAAAGTGCCAACTGCCAGCCAAATGCCAAGTCAATGACTATTGAACTTCAATCCATACCTGCTTGCTGAAGCACTTTGGGCAGCAGGCCACCACCCTGAGAAATGACAAAAATTTTGGAAGCCACCTACATGTACAGCAATTCAGGACAATTACAAAACGAGACACAGACAAGAATTTGAGCTGTGCATGTGCAGCAGATCCTGTGAATGATGGTCCTTACTGCTCTTTCCACCGATGTCAACTCTCAAAGCTGTCTTTCCACGAGAACATTTAACAGGCTGGCACTGAAGTCCTAAATTAAACACCTGATATTTGCTTCAGTAGCTATCTTTTTTTGTGAAGAAATACACTCTTCAAAATGCTGATCACATTGCAGTTACTAAGGGATAAATTAGATTCCAGTCACACTGCCATGCCACTTCAGAAATCAGATTTTTCTAAATACAACATTCTTATGTTCAGCCATTTCACTATAGAAGTCGTGCTTGACTCCAGGGCTCGTATCATTGGCAAGAAAACTGCAGTCAGGAACCAAAGAAAACAAACCGATTAAAGCATGCACTTTCCTAGTGCTTAAGTCTTTGTATATAGCAATAAACAAGATTACAACTGAAATACTTGTTCAACATTTAGGAGCAATGCAAACAGAATCAATTCTGTTGATGGATACTTAAATTTGTCTGCATGACAAGAATGGAAGAGTTTTAATAACTGCCCGTTGGCTACTGCCACAACAGTCACGGCCTCTTTTTAGTACACACTACTATCAAGGAAGCTCAGAAGACTGCTCTGTACTTTTAAAGACATGCACTAAACAAACAGCAAGAAGAAAACTACAGCACAAGTTAAAGGAAGCCGTACAAACGTGATCAACTTACCAGTATTCTCTGGCATAGAAGCTTGATCAGTATTTCTCTCTTTCTTAAAGGAAATATTTCCAAATTGTAGCACTGAAGACACCACTTTCAGCATTGCTGTGTTAACAAAAGACATATGTAACAGTTTAATTGAAGAGGGCTCAGCCTAACAAATTCTTCTTCTGTTGCTTGTGTCACTATTCTTCTGAGTTCACAAAGGAAATACCGTTTGTACTGTACTTTTTGGGCAAATGGCTTTAATTTAACTCTAGCTCCTGTTAAGCAAACATTTGCTGCAGGCTATCAAGGCACTGAAGCAACATTAAATTTGGGGATGTTAAATTAGCAAGTGTGTGTGAATGTGCACAAGAGTAAAAAAGTACACTTTAAAAATCCAAAAGGATCAATAACTTACACAAGATCTCATCATGCGAAAATCCCATGATATGCATGGCTTCCATGGTCTCCTGAAAGTTATCTTTGTCTTGTTGCCCAGGGATGGGGATGTAGCCATTAGATAAAAATCTGTAATTGTTAAATCCTTCAAGGAGCAAGTCAGCTGTGTTGGGAGGAAGGGGAAGAGAAAAATAAGCGAAAGAAATGCTGTTCACACCCTCCTGTACTCTGTTCTCACTAAATGCGCAAACTATGCTTTACAAAATCAGTTCCTCAAATATGACTACAAGCTTCTGAAACTCTAAAACCTTAGATGCTGAAGCCAGATTCCCAGAATCTCTAACTGTAGCAACCTACATTAGCTTTTTAATGCATTAAACCTGTAAACAGAAAATTACCCAACTCAGATCTAGCATAATCTCAAACCCCTATTTCAAGTATCTTAAAAGAAGTATCTCTATTGAAAGGTAACAGACACAGGCAGAAATGGAGTTAGGTATTGATGATTACCACATCAAGGATGCTAAATACCAGTTTATCTAATACAGGAGGAGAAAGAGTGGATCAATTCTCTGAAGTCTGGACCATCATATAGTTTCATTTATTACAACCTAACAGAAATTCCTAGTTACTGAGGGTGGTGGGGTGGGGGGTGTGTGTGTGTGTGTGAAGTAGAAGATAACCAACACAGTACTGGAATTCCTGAAGCATGTCACAGAGTTTCATTATGTTTTGTTAAAATGGCTGCTTTTCTACCCAGTTTGAAGGCATAGTCCAGAATAGATACAGCTGTCACTGCTGACCATGTTTGTTATTTATCAGCTGGGAGCACTGCAGTTTCAATCCAGCAATTCCCAGCTATAAACTGCCCAAACTGGACTTTGTCATGCAGGAGTCGTTTGCTTGAAATGCAATAGTTGCTTGACAGCATACTTGACAAAACACAGAAGGTATTTCAAAACAAAACCACCTGGCTTTTCATTCTTCTTTTAAAATTCACTGTTTCAAGACCAAAGAGTAGTTCAAATGTGTTAAGACTGAAATAACAAACATGGCACCCAGAAGCAAAAAGTTTACAAAATGAGATTCTCAACTTACACTTCAGATGTTCTCCTGCTCCAGCTAGTAGTTGATAGAAGATATGAAATGTCCGCTCATCTTTTGCCTGACGAACAGCACGAGACTTTTCCAACAAGTCTGATTATAACCAGTCAAGGATCTTCTACAATTTTTGGTTAAAAATGTCCAATGCAAACAAAACGTTCAAAGCCAGCTACATAATTACTTAAAGACCAAATGGAACTTTCATAGTAATGACAAGACTATGTCCAATATGGCCTTTCAGTAACTTTAAATAAGAGATTTCAAATTCAGACTGGTAGAAGCCCACTTTTAATTCCAGCAAACTCATTTCTTGGATGTTGACTGCATTTCCCTGCTACATGCAGCTGACAATTGTCTGTAATGGATCAGCTGAAGTTTAAGTGAGAGGGGCAGCTGGCCACTCTTTTTCAATCACTTCTTCTATTAAGGTCATAGCTGAACTCTCAATACCACAAACCCAGCAGCTGAACTCAAAAGTACTTTATTATCTGAAGCACATTTGTAATTACCTTCAAGCACTGCATTTTTACATACAATCTGCACTGCCTTTAAACAGCTCCCAAATTCAATTTGTGCAGCAGACAGCGTCTAATAAGCTGAATGTTATTCAAGTTTTTAGTTCTTGATACTCCATATTGTAAAACAAACATGGGACAGGGATATGAAGTGACACAGGTTACAAGCAAGGATGAGTTCTCGTGATGAAGAAGAAAATTCCCTAAAAGTTAAGTCCCCTTGTTTTCGCAAAGGTCTAGGCAAAACAATTCATCTGAACTTTCATAAAAGCAAAAGCTGCCTTCATTCCTGTGCTGAATCAAAGAAATAATTTATCATTAAAGCATTTTTTGAATAACTATAGATCTTTCCCAGCCTTATTGGGAAATGGTATTTTGTGACAGTTCCAAACGTTCAATGCACTTAAATTTTACCTCATAGCAACAGAATGAAAGCTTAACCGCAGCATTGTTTATGATTAATACTCACATGATATTGTTCACTAAGACTTCCGATTTCATCATTTTATGACCACCCTATTGCTATTCCCCCAGAAAACGGGCTAAACAAACAAAAAAAAATTACACACACGTTCTTTTTAGTATGAAGAAAACAGCTTTAGAGAAGGGCTTTCAGTGCAAGTATTTTCACTTGTTCTTATGCAATCATAAATACAAACAAACCTTAAAGCTGAAACTTAATTAGGCTTCAGTATTAATTGCTAGTAGGTCTCGTGCTATTGAACTTATGCTGGTAGCTAGAAGACCTGAGAAAATAGAATGTGTCCCAGCTCTATCACTTTATAATGAGCATCACCTCCTTTCCAGGCAGGGAGCTGCTTCTGCAGTGCTGACAAGAGCAAAACCAAGCTTTTGGTGCAATACAGTAGCTCAGCTTCTGATGAAGGCAGCTTTTTTTTTCTAGAAATGTTCATAGAACAAGCACACTTTAAATGGTTTCCCTATTTAACATATCCTGGTTTTAACACTAGTCTGAAAACCCAGCAGATTTCAGAGTACTAGATTTTGGAGTATCCTATTTCTTCTAAGCATGAGGAAGCACACTGACTTTGTGATACTTGATCGGCTCCTTTGAAACAAAGGAAGAGATGGATGTTGTCAAAGGAACGTAGACATGTGGTAACCTTTGATCACATTCCAATGAATTCTAGAGTTACAGCAAAACCATTGGGAAACTTGCATTTTACAATGATGTGGCATGAAGGTAGGATACATGTCTCAATGTTGGCCCCAACTATATAACCAGTAACATCAAAGTTAATCCTAATGAACTTGCCCTGCAAAGAAAAGAGATTCTTTTGTAAATGCTGATTTTTTTTATCATGACAATAATGTGTCTATATAAAAACATAATACTACTTGCATTCATATAACAAGCATTTCACACAAGTTCAAATGAAATCTTTTCTTTTCAATGTGCTCAGCCGTCATTTCAATGGAATATGTTAACGCTGCACACAAACACTTTCTAAAGATTAAAGAACCAGTATTCCTGATACGTTTACAATCCAGACTCAAAAACTTTTCTCAAAGTGAAGCTCAATTTCTTGTGTTGACAAAACATGCTGGCTAAGTTTGAAAGCAGTGCTGAGATTTTAAGTGCACGTATTTCTATAGCAAACTTATTGGTGCCTAAATGTGCTTTATCCGCAGCAATCCTGAATCTCCGTGTGCTGCCCAGCCCATTATGCTTCTTCCGTTTCTAAAACCAGGACGGCTGCTATCTGCATGGCCTCTTTTCTAGCAGTTGGTAAAGAAAGGACTAAAAGAGAGACAATATGCCTGTTTCTTCCACATACATCTCCTTTCTTCCACAAAGGACCAAATAAAAAAAAAGCACACTTCCCACACGTAGAACAGCTCTTGGAAAGAAAGTGGTTGCAAGCAGATATATTATACCAGTTTTAACCCACATCATTTCCCCAATCTGATTTGTCATTCGGCTACAAACATTCCCAACAGGACAACAAGTTCTGGCTTGGAGTTGGACCACTTTTAACAGTACGATTACTGTATTTTAAGTTTGTGCTCATGAAGCTGTTTGGTATCTTCACATGTTTGCAACCAAGGGAATACCTGTGGAAATACCCAGTGACTATACTGGGCCCTCCATTTTCATTGCATCCAACTTCTACAGTCCTCTATCCACATATGAACACATTTTGGAGATCAAGGAGCATCACAGCAGTTTGCTAACAACTGTCCAAACTCTTGCTTTTGATGATATCACAAAAGCCACCTATAATATCTTTTGCGGAGGCCTTCTGAAAGCGCTCTTGCAATCAGTATCTAAATCCTCATTTATCTCAAGTCTGACTGATCAGTGCTATTAGTATGTTAAAGTGAATTCCTGTTTGGCAGATCCATTCAGCTCAGGGACTGTGCTATTGCTTTTCATATTAAATATTCTACTCTGCAAGCTTGTAGAATATATGTATTCTAGCAACGGTCCAACCTAGTAAGGGCCATTATATAAGGGTATATTGGGGGATGTATTGCCATGCTGCAGACTTAACGCCTGAACAAGTTCCTGCAATCATTTGAGCTATTGTAACTTCTTACCAGAACTCCCTACCCTTCTCAACTTCCCTGATAAATGCCAAAAAGATTTGCATGCACAGGACTGACCAGGTTTCTCCCCCTAATCACACCAGTGAATCCAGTCTTATCTTGACTTAGTCTCAGAGCAAAGCAACTGCTCCGTGACTGTGGTTCTACATCCTCAACTCAAAGTGATTTCTCCAAGTTTCAAGAAAACTTGTGGAATACTTTAAATTAGTTTCAATGGTTACTCCCTACTGCTTAATCTGCAGTTTGGTTGGAAAGCCAGTGGCACTAAAATGATCGGGCCAAGGAACAAGGCTTGTTTTCAAGCATGCCCTGTCAGGGACTGGCACCTAAACTCAGATTTCTGAGTGTGAAGAAACAGAACACTCTCAGCTTAACTTGTAACTGAAGCATTTATACTTTTTGCTCCGTAACAATTCCAGAAAGCTATATTTATAACTGTCACAAAGAATGAACTGACATTTTACTGAAATTCAGCCAACAGACTAGATACACAAATGCATGTGTCAGCACTACCACGTCAAGAACGGCAGCTGACTTTTTACCCAGAACAGGGACCACAGAGCCTTCTTAGAATGACATGGCTTGAATTCACCATGTTAGATGTGAAAATAAACTTGAATCATTACATAAGGTCTAGTCAGTGGCTTTTTCCAATATAACTCAGAATCACTTTACTCTGTTTCACCCTTAAAAGTTATCTAATTTCTGCTGTCAAGTTACCAGTTCCATGAACAAAAATAGAGAGGAAATGCAGTCATTAAATGAGCTGACACATCAGAAGAGGGGACCCACACACTCCCTGTTTCAAAGTTCAGCCATCACCAAAGTCTATACTAGAGAGGTCACTTATCTAGTTCATCTTCTTAAAAGCAAAATATTAATACATCCTTTTAGCTAGCACTGGCAAAGCTTGCTACGAAATATTTAATTTATCAGTTAGAGGCTGTAGTGGTGGTCATCTAAACAACTGAATTCTGCTTACACAATCATTATAGTACTAAAATACATGGCTTTGTAAAAACCACATCAGAAGGAAGCATTTAGTTCTGCAGTATGAACCCAGCAAGCCCACTCTCCTATCCACTGCAAACTAGAGACTTTATTTCCTGAAACAGAAGACAACACTGCCTTTGGTAGAAGAAAAAAAGAAAAATAAAATTGATTTGACACTAGCCTTATCTCAGTCCTATCTGGCATTATCAGCAAGTAGGGAACAGGCTGGCATCCTCATGCTGCATGGTGAAGACTGTCGAGCCTGTACAGGCTGAACAACAGCACTTCTCACTTTGTGGGAGGATATATATTTAAGTCAGGTTTTAAAATGGTTGTTATTAAAGATTATTTTTTCTCCATGAGATGACACCATCTGGAGTGCATTATACTTGCTCCTTCATAAAAACAGAGCTGGAGCCATCTGAGTGATTATGTTCATGATGGCAATGCAGACTTCAATCTAATACAAACCAGATGCTAACATCTTTTAGAAAAAAGTATCCTCATTAAATTAGTACAAACTTTGATGGATTCAAGGCATGTAACAAAGCAGAATTATTGCACAGTGAAACCCGTTGATATTATAAATCCTAAACCTAATATAATAAGCATCAAGCAATATTTTAAATAATGTGGCTATAAAATTATCAAAGTTGAATTTCTACAGTACTCTGCTCTCCCTTCTTGGTTGAAGAGGCTAAGCGATTTAGTCATACAGTTTTCTAGAGTCCTTATCACTGTAGCCGAGTTCATACACTATAAATCCAAGCAACTGTTGAAACATCAAGGCAGCCAAGAAATCTTTCATTTGTTCTGTAAATTTTAGTTTTGTTCTCGCAATATAAAAGATTTAATATGTCCTATACAGTTTTAAAGTTGTACTAAAAAAAAAAAATCTTTCCCCTGAAACAGAAAATGGCTTTTTTTTTTCCCCCCTTCAAAGGAAAGGAAGTTTTAAGAAGTGGTAAATAACTATTCACCCCAAGTTCCACCACTATTTTTAAAACAATGGAACACATCAAAAGTGGTTATCTGCCACTAAAACAGTATGTGAACAGAAGGCACTGATCCAACAAAACACCAACCAGCTACATGAGTGCCCAACACCTTGAATAAGTCATACTGTCTTTTTGACTTTCCTTCAGAAAAATCAGTCAGACAGAAGGGCATGGAAATTTAGAGAGGTTCTTATATGCAAGTTTTGTGCCTTTTTAAAAATTGAGTATGTTCTCTCTAAACCAACCATTTGATAAATTCATACCTATTGACGAGAAGGTTACATATTTAGCCAAATCCCATGTTGATGCCATACTCCTTCATACTTTATAGTAGTTCGACAGTAATTTCTGCATGCAAGCCACAGTTTAGCTCTATGGTATAGTTATATTTGTTATACGATGAACACTGCTGTCAATTCAAGGGCGGTTGAAGTTAGAGACTGGATAAAACTAAAGCCAGTTTGCCAAGAGCCAGCAAGGATGCATCTTCAGTGACCCCAACACAATGCAGAAAGCATTGTAAGAGAACCTGAACTTGTGGTGGAAAGAGAACAAAGAAAACTTCTGATACTAATCAAATAAATTCCTAAAAAGGTAATTTCTCCATAATCAGTAATCCAGGTTTACAGACTCTAAAGAGAGAATGAGTAACTCACAAAGCGAGAGGAGTTGTCATTTTTCACTGTCTTTGCATTCCCGAAGGATTCCAGAATGGGATTTGCCTGAAGAAGCTGACGCTCCAGCTCCCCCTAAAAACCACACAAACAGAAAAACAAACAGACATCAGCACAGTGCACATGCGAGCAAGGGTTCCTATATTCTGCTTCTTCCTGCCAGACATTTTACCCAGGTTGTGGCAGAAGGGGGTTATCATTTTTCCCCTCACTTCTAAATCTGCTGATAGTCTCCTCCATTCAGTGAAGAATGTGTTTTGGTTTTTTTTGTTTGGTTTCTGTTGGGTTTTGTTTGGTTGGTTTTTTTTAAACACACACACACAAACAGAGCAGTGACCAAATAGGACTTAACAGATGTTGAAAATCATTGAACACGGAAAAGAAAATTCACATTTAGAGCTAATGAAATTAGGCACAGACTTTGAGTGCTTAGGAGGAAAAACTAATTTAACTGTTAAAGATTTTAGTGCAAGGTTATTCTTAAACATCCTGTTTAGTGACTTGACAATATAGGTGCTTTGGAACACCTATTTTCAAACTTAGTTTCAAATCAGTTAAATACTCACTTTCAATCAGCCAGACATTCTTATCATTGCAACATCTCTGACCTGAATGCACCTGAGAAGCATGCCAGAATGGCATAATGGCAACTGAGCAACACCAAATACAAAGATCATTTTCAAATTGCTCAATTCAGCCAACATTGCTCAGTATGTTTAACGCATTTTTTAAAAAAAATGCTTCTTTAACTTCAAGCCAATGGATGTAGAAATCAAAGTACTTATCTCAAGGAAATTGCACAACAGCTTTTACAATTGCTGTCCATGAGGAGGTCTGGTAACAAAAGTCTGTGCTGCTTCCATGAGCCCAGGAGGCACATATGTACAGAGGAAAATATGATATTGTCTTCCTGCTCTGATGGATGGGTTTTAAAATAAAACGAAAGTGAAGCTGTCTGGAATGTAGTCTCAAAAACTGCTGTTTGTGTTCATAAACCTGCTTTTTCCAATTATTTATAGCATAGATGAATAAAGGCCCCAGACTGAGCAAAGAATGGGAAATGTAAGTCTCTTAAGGCTTCCACATGAGGTCAATTCTTATGCAGGAATTTTTAAAATTCACTAGTTGACACCTAAAAGAGGCTTTTATTTATATATTGAAATATATTTCAAGTCCTTCTGGAAACTAATGGCTGCTCATTCTCTAATGTGACCTCAAGTTATCTGCTCAGAACTTGTTTACTTCCAAATATATTCCCTTTGGGATTACATATTCTCTGAATTCTAAATTAACTAAAAGAGAAATAAATGTGTGAGTCTCAGCCCAGAGCACACTAAACACTACTCAGGCCACAGTGCCTATGCAGTATATGTTAGGTCTGCCAACTTTACAGCTCTCAGGAGCACTTTTAAATTGACCAAAAAAAAAATCCACAATTGGAGTAAAAATAGATCCCTGTTATAACCACTATATGCATGTCTGCAATTTATTTTCTAAACATTTCCTCTGTAAATGCATCAGACAGTAGGAAAGCATTTGCTCACACCATTCCTCCTGTTCCCTCTCCCAACCACGCTGTCAGCTCCTGCTAAGACACCAAGTATAAAAAAATAGAAGCTTGCTTACCATGCTGTACACAGCTTGAAATAAACCACATTACGTATATTAAACGCAGCAAGCATGTCACAGCTTACATTTCAAATTCTAGCTATTCTGGAAAAGAAAGCACACTGACTTCAAAATTTGACTTCTCCACCCAACATTGCTGTCCCACTTGAAAGCATCTTGCTGCAGGCACGCTTCGTCCATGCTTTAAAGTGCTTCCGTGTACCACTATCTTAATTCGGTTTTGTGCAGAGGAACTTTGCAATGCATCGTAAAACAAATTTTACTCAAATTCTCCAACTGAATGTAAAAAGTTCTTAGTAATTCATTTTTACTATCATCTCTGAGGATTTGAAGAAAACGTTCAGTTGGGTCCTCAGATGTGGGTGAAAATAGCGAGAACAAACAGTGCTCACAGCCTAGCCAGCCTCTGTGGTTTGCACTCGCAAGTAGACTTGTTGGAGCCATCACTAAGAAAGAGCAAACCTCTCACACTGTGTTAAATGGCTTCTGATTTACCAGTTTTCATTTTTAGATGGACTGCTTCACAGCCAGAAAACAGTTGTCTTTTAGAAGCATTCAGTGTTTTGGAAAGAGCGTAGATTTGGCCTATAGGCATATCTCCTGCATAGGCATCTAAACAGAACTTGGAAAAAGCAGTATCGCAGTACTGTGGAAAAAGTGAAATCATGCAATATTTCATGCAGGGTAACATGGAGATAAGGACAGATTATTGTCTCAGTTTCAGAAAAACCAGCATCCCAGTGATTTGGTTCATCGTGAAGCCTGGGTGAGGCAGGGAAAACTACTACATGCTACTCACATACAACAGGGATCCACTCTGTAGTTCAAAACAACATTGAAACAGAAATGTTAATGATTATGATTTATGCAATATCAACACTTCTGGATTAGCACGTTTCCACTGATACATTTAACATGTTTGCCAACAAACGGTTTATTTCAACTCTGACATGCTATGTCTAAGCAAAAGGAGGGTTAAACTAAACACTGCTCCATCTATCTTTGGAACAGAGAAATATTTCAGTAAAAACCCTTAGAATTGACAGAGGTTCGCAAGGAGGGAGGATTAAGCGAAGCATTAAGAATGTCTGTAACTTCTGAAAGTGAGACCATGGGCTCAGATGCATGATGGGGTTACAGAGGTTTAACAAGTTACCACACGCTAGCAAAGGCATCACAGTCATCCATGTGATTTCTTTTTGCTTCCAATATACCAGACCTAACTTGAAGTTTCATTTAGTATTTTCCTTTCCACTATAACTTCAGTTGCACTACAGTCAGCTTTCAGAAAAACGTTGAGGGGAAGAATACAATCAGCTAAACTAACTCATGGTAGCTTCTTCAGTTACCAAACCTTGGTTACACCGTACGGACCTGTTGCAGAGATTTTATTTAAAAGCTCTTGCCCGTGACAAAGGCATCACTTACCATCTCAGGTTAGAGACTGGAACATTTATCTTCCATAACATGTGGTAGTAATTGTTTCCCTCTTTCCACAGCCTTACCCTCAACTTCCACCTAACTCTCCTCTTTATGCTCCTTCATGAGTACGCTCCATCGCACTGCGAGTACCGCAACTCCTACTCTCATGGCAGTCTAGAACAGACCGACTACTACTGCCTGGGAGAAGAGGGATGAGGGGAGCTGGGACCGGGCAGCACTATCTGCATGGCGGCTCCAGTCAGCCTGAGCAGAAAGAGCAGCTGAAGCCCAAACGAGGAAACATTAATTCAGGCACCAACACTCAGATAACCATGTTGCTCACACCACTTATCCTAGAATGTTAAGGGAAACACTTGATTTCAGAAGATAATTGGTTATGTTGTGCCTGTTAACCTGATAAAGACTGATCTCAAGTGTATCTGAGAAGCTATAAAAATATTCAGACAAAACAGGATGTTAATCAAAACAATTTTGTAGCTTCCATTAATCTCTTATTTAGTATTTGTTTAACATTAAGTGTTCTGCACTCTCCCAGCAGCACATTAACCAAGTATATCCACAGCATATTGGAGAAGGTCAGCTAGAGAGAGGGTGAACCTTTTGCTTTGAGTAACACCACTTTAAAGTGGTGAGAAGTGCTTTGCAATGCTGAGGAACTTGTAAGCTGTTCACTAGTACACTCTCTCAAAGCCAGTTAGATATTTACAAAGTTTACTGTCAGCTGTATACCTCTACAATATTTCCCACATGTTATAAATACAAATTGACAGAAAATAGAAGAACATGTATCAGTTCACCTACATAACTTTAAAAGCATAAAGAAAAACACTTGCCTGATGTTTCACGGGTTTAGGTGATTCGGGCTGTTCATTGCAAACAAACAGATGTATATGTTAGCAAGCAAGCATTCCAGCTGCAAGTTACATCCCAAATTATTCATGTCAGTAGGTTTAGTTTAACTATATACTCACGTCATAGAAACAGTTCAAATTAATTTTAGAAAAGTAGTTACTTGCATGCGCAAAATACTAAAACCTGTGTTTATGCAAAGGACTAATTCCAAATAAAACACAAGGTGATAGACGGACCTTAAGCAGCAAGGAAAAGGAGCAATAGTTTAATTAGTTGTGCACTGCTTTCCACAGTTTTGCCAAACAACAACAAAAAATAAACCCATAACACCAAGCAACTTTCTCTACAGCCTTAGTCACTACAAGGTGAGTTTGTATGGGCAAGACGATCATTATCCTTCAACAATCGAAAAGCTTATGAAAGAACCAAGAGGAAAGCAATACTTAAGGAGTCTGGGGTTTTGTTTTTGCACCGTACTTCAAGTATTTAAGAAATGCAAACCTACAATTGAGACAAAAGCTTTGTTTCTTTCTTTGAAGAACGACCATCCACATGAAAAGCAGCAAAATTTTAAGAAACTGGAAGACCTTCAAATTCTGCCAGGAAGAAGGGTAAATGGAACACGAACATAATAAAGTGAAAAAACCCTCAAAATTCAAATTTGCACAGTTTCTGCAGAAATACAGATATTTTCTATTCCATTATTATTTCCTTGGCAAGTTTAATAGTCTTGAGCTTCGCATCAGAGAGCCTAGGTGGAAAATACTGTGGTGAAACACACACAACAAGAAATTTTCATACCAAGCCAGATGCACACTTCCTCCGTTTATGTCTATTTTAAACAAACAGCACTGGTTTAGTGCAGAATAACAGATTTTGACAGAGGTCTGTAAAGAAGCTGGGAAAGGTTTGGTTTATTCTGCTAACTGATGTCAATTTTGCAAAGCTGCATCATACCCGCTTAGAAAACAACTCAGGTATTAAAAAAAAAAGTTAGACGTTTCAAGTATGAAGCTACCACTCCTTCTGTAATCACTGGAGGAGGACAAGTACACACCCGGAAACCTAGGAGGCATTTCGTTTGCTTATCTTCAGACAAGATGAAGTGCTCTCTCAGGACATCCATTTCTGTCCTCACTAGAGACAGAACTGAGCATAATCAGACACATATTTAACTTCTCTGTGTTTAAATTAGGGCAGTTAAAATCCATCTGGGAAATCTTAAGGGGAGCTTCAGCCTGAGTGAGCCTACCCAAGACCCTGTATTTCAAAACCAATTATGTTTCTTTTGAAATTAATAAAACAAATTAAACTATTTAGCATTTCACCTACAAAGGCAAATGCAGTCACTGAAAGCAATCATTAACCTGAAAGTACCAGTAATTATTTGTGAAGTTTAAAATGGCACCACCATGAAAGCTGGATTTTAGTGAAAATAGAAGGGGTTTGATGGGGGAAGGCTTTGGGGAGAAGGGAAATGAACAAAAGTCTAATTCCATTCATCTGAAGCAGAGGTACATAGTACCAGGATGACTGGAAGTGGAGACAGCAGGCAGTGGATGGATGCAGTTATTTATAGAACTTAACTACTTCACATTCTACCACGATTGAAAACATCTGCTGATTTCATATATTTAACCATGAATAGGGTCCAGGTATGTCCACAGACTACAAATACAGCTAAGAGCATCCCCCAGCCTCACACAGCCTGTAGAACATGGCAGTTCATGGCAGTCCCTGGGCAGTAAGTGACAACCAGCACATTTCCTCCTTTTGGAAGGCCATATATGCAATATATATATATTTAATAATTTCTATATTTTGCACTGACTTCCCTCCCCATCCAAAACCACAAAGTTTGTAAACTAAAGCAAAATCCAAGAGTCAGAATTAAGATTCACTTCTTAACCATATTAAAGCAACTCTAACACATACATTAACAACACTATTTCATTCTTCTTTTCTCTCATTTCTACCTCACCTAGTACATAGCAGGGTGATGAGCCACAAAGCTAAGCAATTTAGAAGTCTCCTTTTCCTCCCTACCCTGCTTGCTTAATCTGTCCAAAACCCTCTCTAGACACATCAGACTCCTCAATTACCTGTCCTTGTTCTCTTCCTCTCCTTTTATTCTAAATATCCTTTTCCCCACACCTCCTGAGCCTACAGAGGAATAATTGAGAGCAAAGGTGAGCAAGGCTCCTCTGTGTGGCCTAGAAGAGTAGGATAGCTGACCAGATCAGATACCAGTGTGAGTCAGCTTTGGTCTGAGATGCCCAAGATAAAGCACAATACTTGTCTTTATAAAGTTCGTCCATGCATGGTATGGTTAACAACTGAATAAAACACAATATGCTTGGTGCAAGCAAAATATTCAGATTCACTGGCAAAGTTCTTAACACTACCACCCAAACCCCCCAAAATCATTAGCGCTCAAATTTGTTGGATGTGAAACTACAGTTTTCAGTTATTTACAGCTGGTGTCTTCCATCTTTCTCTCCCTTGCTACAGGCCAGCTAGGTCGGTACCTGTGTCAGAACTGACTCTCAACCAAGCACGCTGCAGGCAAGGATTCAGGCTCACTTTCATCCCACCTGCAGTCTTTAAAAGAGCTTATGTTTATAACTCACCACCAAGTACTTCTCCCTCCTCTCCATCACTCTAGAAAGCCCAGCCTCTATACCTACCTTAAGGCACTACCCTAGTCTCACCTAGCAACGCCAAGTCCCACAATTATTAAAGCTTTTCTTCTACATTTTTACCACCACCTGCCCACACTTCGTAGTGCAGCACCCATGACAAAGCCCTTAACATTCCTTGGGATCAAACAGAAAATGAGATAGTAAGGCTAGAGTCAAAGGCTCCAAAATTAGGAAATACTCGTATTAAGGTTGTTTAGTAGTATAATTCCATCCTCTGTGGTTACGATGTGCTCTTGATTCCACTTCCCACAGCATCCTCCTGTCTGAGGAGGACGTGCCAAGGACTATGCAGGACTCCTCTGTAGGCACACAGCCCTTAGCTATTAGGAAATGGGGCCGTTGGGAAAGATGAGTCTCATGGACAAGAATGTCAAACGTGATCAGGCTGACCAAGGGATGGGTAGAGCTCGTACGTGATGCTCCTCGCATAAGCCAAATATTTCACAATCAGCGTTGCTGGAGAATGTACTTGGTGAGCATCTGTGACATAGCAGAACATCAGTGCTACTCTGGCCATGGCCTGAGGTGTCAAACTGGAGGTACGTTTGTTTGTAATACTTTTACAGCACTCTGTCAGGCAAATCAGACCAAGTTAACCCTAGACTTCAGAACAGTGTTGGGAAGATAATTATTCATTCATCAGCATACAAATTGCTTCACAGAAAAAAAATCCACGCAGCATTCAGAGCAGTCTCAGTAAAATGCATGTCACTGATAATTATTTGTAACAGGATGGATAAAAATAAACCCATGACTAGCAGTCTATTTAACAAGCCTATTTAGCACCTTCTCTGTGCACAGAATAATGCAAAGGTTGTAGCAGATGGATACTACTCATCACCACCAGCCCTCTACATTTTTCTAATGAATATGTAAACAGGAACAAATAGGCCAATTCTGACACTTCCTAACTTTTGAGTGTTAGGTGTGTACGTTAGACGTTCTTTTTTATAATACATAAATAAAAATGAATTGTTACAGAACAAGGGAGACTCATTTGTATTTTCAAAACAGTTTTGGTTACACAAACATTCTGCATTTTTCATAAACATATGCCTAATTCAGTGCTTACTATGGCACTGCATTGAATGAAGTGCACGATCAAATTATCAGACTTTTATTCAGGACATTACCATATTCTCTTTACTGTGCCTAAACTATGTTTTACAAAGAATAAAAACTTTTCCAGTCTTCATCATGACAGTCACCAATGGTTCATGAAGCAGCTGATTACAACAATCATCTTCAAAACTCTTTTGAGATCAACCTCACCATCCCATTTCATTACACTGGTAAGTAGAGAATTAAGTTGCAGTTCAATCAGCGATTTAAATGGAATTAGCCAATACTGCATTAAAAAGGGCAACTCATCCTTCCCTTCACTGACATTTTCCACTCCAGCTTTCCTCTTTCTTTTCTCTGCCTTCACTTCATACCAGTTATGCAGCCACACAATAAGCAACAGAGGAAACTTGCTTTGTTTAAAGCTAGGTGGACCTTTTAAGAACGCTAGTTTGAGCCTACATCAGTCTCCAAGCCCAGTGAGCGACCACACGAATTGTTAGGATGACAAAGCTCAAAGAGGTACTTCTTTTAGCAGAGGTACTGGCATGAAGTGCTTGTGGAAACACAGCACAAGAAAGGCTAAACAAAGATGAAGTGCTTTCTAAACAATCAAAAATAGGGCCTTGAGTGGTTAAGCATTGGAAGAGGTTTCACAGAGAGAATGCATAATCTCCATCCTTCAACATTTTCAAAACTCAGCTTTACAAGGTCTTGTGCAACATAATCTAACTTTGAAGGAAGGCACATTTTGAAAGGAGGCTGGACAAGAAGCTTCCAGAAGTCTCTTTCAACCTGAGGTATTTCAAGTTGTCAATAGTATATTTAGAAGTACTTGGTACAAACCCTGCACAGTTCCCTTCTCTGCATAATTCCCTTCTCCCCTAAAAAGCTGTAGGCAATTTTACTCATGTAGAAATTGAAAAAACCCGCTGGTTTTGTTCAAGGCTGCACAGCAGTAAAGCCAAGAATATTCATAAATCAAAACCTATAGAGAAAACCAATTCTGATGGGCGACGCTCTAAATAGCATTCCCCAGAGTCATGTATTCTCCCAACACACAAGACAATGCCATGAACATGCACCCAATACTGCTGACACTTCCCAGTCCTAAGAAACTTCTTTCTAAGGCTTGTAACTGATACGCATACAACCTGCAGCACACTCAGACCGCACAATAAATACTTAAACTAATTTTGGTCTTTTCTGTGCCATAAGTCAGCAACAGTTTGAATAAGTATCACCACACAGGGTCACGTTATTTGCTCTTGATTAGAGCAAAGTTTTGAGTTTCCCCATACATTTAACTAGATTTCTCCACCTCTACCTGCAGAGCAATCCTTCCTTGTTTCCCACTTCAAATCCTTGCCTTTTTTTTTTCCCCTTCACAGATAGGTCAAAAGTCATCTCCTGTTTTTCCCAGGAGTTTGAGTCTTGACACATTCAAGAATGTCTGTAATTTCGAGTGCATGGCCCTTAGCAGCAGCAACTTCTTAACGCCAAGTCAGATTATGTAGTTTGAAAGCTCCCAACCACCACACACCCCCGCAGTACTGCTGGAGAAAAGCAGGCCTACACCAGTATTGATTATAGCAAGTCACTTGCTTGTAACAAAGTTGAATTAATACTTTACTGCAAAGAGATCCAAGTGGTCATCATCAACAGATATTCAAACTCATTCCTATTTTTTAAAGCAAAGAATTACTAAAAATTCAGTGCAAATTTTGAAGTCTGGCAGTAAATCTGAAGAAAGTTCTACATAAATCAGAGTTAGTCACAAGTTACCAAAAAAACCCCAAGATTCTCTGACATAAAAGTACATATTCTCTTATTTGTAGTGTAATAAAATCTGAACTTTTTATTAGCTGCTGACTTCTACATACAGCAAGTCTACAGCAGTTTTTAAGCTTGATGATTTTGCCCATCTACAAATTAATTTTTGAAAGAACAGCAAGCTTCTTCACAAACGTAGTACTGAAAACGGCATCTGGTGGGAACTAAACTCACTAACAATTGCCCAAGTTAATTAAATTTTTGGAAAATTGGGGTTTACTGCATGAGAAAGCTTTGATACTGTTTCTAGTTACAATGCCTGCATAAAGCCTTTAATTTCACAACAGAAGTTAAACAGCCAACATTAACTGAAAATTTTGATGTAACTGCGCATTTCAGCCACTACTGAAGAGAAAATAATGGTTGAGACAAAATTATGTGGGTTACATTACAGCTTATCTTTAATAAAAAAAGTTGGGTTTTTTAATGCAAACATGTTAATTTTCAAAAAGAGCAATAAACAAATGGGAAAATATCCCAACTTACAGGAATATTATGGTCCTTTCTTCCTTTATGGGAGGAAGCAACATGAGCAAGGTATTGAATAACCTTCTTAGTGTTTTCAGTCTTCCCGGCACCCGATTCACCTCTGCAAAACATTTCAGACATTTTCCTCAAAATTGATTTTCAACAACTTATCAATCCTTTGTTTATAGCAACCTCATTTCATTCCATTTATGGCTTTGACTACACAACAGACCTTCTCTTCCCATCTTAATCCAAAAGCACTGATGTTGCAGGGAACTACAAGGTATTTGTTTAAAATACTTTCTTCATCCTAAAGATCTCCTTAGCATTAAGATGTTGATACTATGTGTAACATTAGTTTGATTAAAAGCTTTTGACCATATGCCTGAATTCTTTTGTTACCTTAAGTAACAAGAAACAGACATGTCTTCTGCCTTGATCACAAGGCCAGAGACTGTATCTTCACTCTGAAAAAATTCTTTTTTTTAATCGTTATATATATACATATATACATACACTTTTATTTTTAGCATCATTTTAATATATTTTATATACTAGAAGCTGGTTATGAGAATTACCAAGTTGATGGAAACATTCAGTATCTTGAGAAGCCAGTTTCAAAGTACAGTAAAACACATTTTAAACAAACAGATTCTTTCCACTGCTCATCGCAGACTCTTGACTGGTTTAAAAATATATTTATGGTCATAGGGTTACATCAATTCATTAAGAAATTAATTTATTAGTGCAGAGTGGTACAATATGCAGATCAATAAAGATAGCAAATACATACTTCATTTTTAAGACAGAAGCAGATTTAAAGCAGAACATGTTTAGACAATTTATCGCAAAGTTTACATATGGGATATTCCAGCAGGAAATGTGACCAAGTTCACATCACTGCAATCACAAATGATGTTACT